TTGTTTTCAGATTTTACAACACGCTTTGAAAGGCCTTTCTACTACCAAGACTACCTTCACCTATGTTTTTTCTTTTTGTATTTTATAGCACCTTAGTTTATAAATTTACATTTCATATCCACTAGGGATAACTTTTTTTTCAGTTTTTATTAAATAGCTGACTGGCTGTCACAAAATATTTACTAAACAAGTCCATCATGTTCCAACTGATATGAAATTCCACCTTCATCTTAGACTAAATACCTATTATATATTGAGTCTGTTTCTAGACATTACTCTAGCAAAACAAACAAACAAACAAAACCTGGTTACACAGCCTCTGAACAGAACTGAACAGGGTAGCCAAAGACAGGCAATAAAAGACAAACTTTTCTTTGTTTAACGTTCTGAATTTTACTCCACATACTTTGAATTACCAGTCAAAAACATCAATAAAAAATTGCTAAAGTCTTGCTTACTAGACATGATAGAATTGTCATATATTGCAGCTTTCTGAAAATTACACTGTAACCCCATACACACCTGAATAACTCCTGAAATCATAGATCTACCTTGATTTTAAAACTGGGCACTAATCTAGCCTATTTTAAATGGAGAATAGTGCAAGTTCAAATATGTCTTGATCTAGATATTTCTCTGCCATTTAACATAAACACGAAACCATTTTTTACCCTAGAGTGTAAAAAAAAGCTCTTCTGTCTAAATCCTTAACTGTTGTAAGTAAAGCTACTACCCCAAATTTAGAAGAACCTTAGATATGCTTGATTCCTTACTATGTGTGTTCCACAGATCCAGCCATCATAGATATATTTTGCTTTCTTCATTGTTAGCTGGTAACTATTTTTCCTATTAAAATCTATAATAAAATTTAATTCAGAATCTAATCTTTCTATTCTACTGCAATCCAATTGCTGTATTTTTAATATTATTCTTTTATAATGTGATTTCAATGTCGGATGCCAAATGGGACCCCTTGTGACCATAATACCATAATACCATAATGCTGACTAGCCAAGACAACAGAAATATCCTTCTGGCAGCAGCTGGAAAAAGAACAGGTGTTATCTTTAAATCATTTTCTTTAAGACCGTCTCCCTCACACTATTTTCTAAACAACTATTAAAGGTAAACTTCTTTAGTAGTTTTAGCCTTTCTTCAAGAAGAAAAAATATTTTCAAGCACTTGAAAATACTCCTCCAATAAAAATGGGAAGGTAACCTAGTAGTCTCATTAGCATACTCATGAATAATTACATAGATTAGTATCTCTGTACCATGTAATTCTGCTCTCACTACCTGCTGCCCTAGGTACTTTCACACTCTTTTCTTTTTAAATGAACTACTTTAAATGAAGAAGATGCATATTCCACGTACTCCCCAGGAACTCTAAGAGAAGATGCAGAAAACCACTCTTTTAATAGAGGCTAATTATCTAAGGTTTCAAAACACTTTGCATTTGTTTTATGTTACATTATCATGCTCATATAACAGGAAACAGATTGACTTGACAAACATCATGTTACTGGTATTAGGAATAGGTTTCCTGGTAGAATGTCTTTTGCCCTAAATATGATACCTCCCACCACCATTCAACTCAATACCCAAAGAAAATTGTCTTTGCAGAACACATGTAGGATGCACTTCATAGCACAACAAATGAATACTAGTGAGATATATATTTATATATATATATGTAAGTTTAGTATTTAAATAAATAATTTTCTATCTTTGATATAGGAAATGATCTCAAGTATGCCAAATGAGATCACATTTCAAAAGGTTCTGGGCAACAGATAATGTATTTTCTTTTGTCCCACTGTCTCTAGAGCCTCACCTTACACTACGAAGCACTTGTTTAACAGCCACCTACTAGTAGATCTCAATTACCCAAGGCACAGCCCAACACACAAAGATTAGAAACACCCACTACTAAAATCTAAGCACTTTCCATGAGAGGTTCCACCTCAGATGAAGTTACTCTAAGTTTAGACCAACAATACTCAACCATATCAGATTTGATGTTCCCTTTCCATAAAATATTTCCCAACTTCTGCTTTCTCACCCTAAAATAAAATTAATAACAATATTCTTACAGACAACTTCAAACAAATCCATATACCCTAAATAAAATAAACACAGAAAAGGGAAATGAAAATAATTTATAATAAGATAATATGTATTTCAATGTTAATCCTAAAACGAAACTGAACTAGAAGGCATACACAAATGTAATTAGTAGATAAATGTAATTAGTAGCTACAAATGCAAAGTTGTTTGTGATGCAATTTTCCAAAACTGTCAACAATCTTAGTCAAGTTGTGAAAGAAACAAATCTTCCTTTCATACATCAATTGAATGTGAAAACAAACAATGGAAAATTCAGTCTCAGTTAAAACCATGAGTTTATATATAAAATGGAGGTTTCTAGGTTCAGATAATTACAAATAATACACAAACGTCAGGCAGGATATTCCTAAACCATGCATGACATTGTGACATTCTTTGTTCAGAATGGCCCATGCAGAAAGTATAGCATCTCTGGACCCATCAAATGCTAGCAGTTAGCCCCTGTCATTCCAACCAAAAATAAAGAAAATTTTAAATGTCTCCCAACTTCCCCCTACAGGGCAGTTTCCTTCTGGACCCACTACCTTAGACACATCAACTGTCACAGTATAATGTAAAGAATGCTTAGGAAGCATGGCTTACCTATGGGCTATATGGTCATCGGTACTGAGCTAGCTAAACCTCAGTTTCCTGTGTATCAAAAAGATACAAACACTACCTAGGTTTTTGTGGGGTGTGACCGTTGACTCAACAACGTAACAATGTCGGGGTAGCAAGGGTAGGTGGTTTTCACCACATGGCATACTGAGATGTGAAGAAGGGGGCTATTTCAGAGAGAGAGAACAGCAAAAAGTTACATGAATAAGGAGGAATTTAACACACAGCAGCCTAGGCACATTTCAGAGAGCAGCCAGCAGCATTATTGTATTAGAATGCAGTGAAATAATTAATATTCAGAATGATGATCCCCCAAGTTAAGAAGACAAGAAAAACTTACATCTTCAAAAGAATTGTACACGGCTGAAATTTTGTAAAGTTGTGATACTTCAGAGAGTGACTATCTAATATTATGCAAACTTTTATTGGGCAATTATCCTACTCTAGACACTGAGAAGACAAAAAGATATCTAATATTCCATACCTGTCCTCGAACACTTTACCATCCAGTAGATTAGACATCAGAAAAACAGCCATAATATAAAGTAGATAGACACAGGCATTAAATAGAAATTCAAGTAGTAAATTATGAGAACCTAGAGAAAATTTTGAATAATTCTCACTGAGGAATATCCAGGCCATCTTCATGGAACAGGACACTGGGAAAACAAGAATTCTGACACAGAATGGGGAGCAAATCATTAAAGAAAAAAATGAAGTCCAGGCAAAGTCACTGAGCATGAAAATACAACTAGGCTTAGAGAAAAGAGATAGGAAAAGGGCAGATTAAGAGTTGGGAAGGCAGTAAAAATTAAGGTTGTAAAAACATTTCAAGACCTGTTCATGGAGGGATCTGAATGTCATTCTAATGATTTTGAATTTTATTGCACAAGAATTTTCCAAAAAACTGGTGCTTAATACAGCACACCTGATCCCCAATTAATGCTGAATGATGGCCAAAAAGAGGATTCTGAACGAATGCAAATTTTCATTAATGAGACACCTAAAATTAAAATACATTCTTAATATGAATAAACAAAAAGAATTTTAGAAGAGAGCTTCTGAGATCGTTTATTAAATAATCAAAATATTACTAAATCTTTTGAACCTGGGAACTCAAAAGAACTCAGGATGATCTTAATCTTATATGTGTCCTTGATTTTCTTCCAAGCAAGTCTGAGAACTTCCTCAACATGTAATTTAGCATTGCTCATGTCACCCCTAATAGGCAAAAAGTAGCCTACAGTATTATTAGGCTCTTTTCACTATGGGGAAACCGAGGAACAAATAAAATAAATTAAGGTATAGTCACCAAATAAGCTATTATGTTTTCTTGGGCTTTAGACTGAAGGCCCACATATCCATTAGTCGTCGTACCAACTGACTACTAAAATTATCTTTCACTTTCGTCTTAAGTGTAAAAATATGTAAGAATAAACTTTTAGATCAACTTCTCAATTTGATACTGGCACCAAAAAAGTTCTAAAATTCTACCTCTTGAATTATGCTATCTGCAAAAACTGCTAAGTGTAGCCAGTAATCCAGCCTCACAAAAAATAGACAGCTGGAAATAGCAGGACAGGTCAGAAATCTTAGGCCCGGCTTTACTTTGAATGTCTGGCAGGCTCAAACATGTGTCTGTAAAACAGGCTTTGCAGAAGCTGTGATGGAAAGGTGCCCTAAAAGGCCCAGAACAGCGTTATCAACACTACACCCACGGCTGCAAACATGAAACTCAAGGTTCTCTCCTTGCCCCTCCCCGCATTGCACCATGCACCACCTCGAGAATCCTGTAACACCATAAGGCCTGTGCAAGTATCCTCCCGATGCTTCCCTTAAATGAGGTACTTTAAGGATGCCCAGGGTGCTGGGCCTCAGTAAACAGTGAGAACACCGGATGTGGTTAAACACATGTCAAAATCTGGCTTCTTCAGAATCTGTGGCCTGGTCCAAGCGATTCAATCTGACAGAGTTCCTGCTACTATTTTTTCACACACGCAATGACAACCGCTACGTTCAAGTCCCCTTCCTCAGCGCCCTGCCACGACTTCCCTCCACTCCGAGTGGGCATCCCAGGGCCTTCAGGAGAGGGGCAGGGTTAAAGTGCAGGATCAGGCCACGAGACAGTCTGGCTCGGGCTGGGGTCCTGCCCGCCGGGACCCCAGATCCCAGAGCGACCAGACCTGGCCTCCGCCAACGCGCCGCCGCTGCCGCCACCTATCAGCTGAGCGCAGGGGCGGGGCTGGCTGGCTCCTCGGCTGAGCCGCCGACAGGCGGAGACGGGCGCGGGATCTACCGTCTCCGAACTCGGGGCCGCCAGGCGCAAACACTGGGCCCAGCTCCCGAGGGCGCCAGCTCAGCCCCAGGGAGCCGGCGAGTGAGCAACCTGCCGTTTGTGGCCTGGTCCGCCCTGCTCGTGTCCACCCGCCCTGGAGGTGGGGTCCAAGCCTCCGGGAAGATGGTGTCCTGGATGATCTCCAGAGCCGTGGTGTAAGTGCTGCTCACAGCAAGGCCCACGGGAGGTGTGGATAGGGCCAGGGCCCAGGAGAAGGGAAGACCTGGGCCTAGGCCGGGGTGGGCTGGTCGAGCCTTGGGCCTGCCCGGGGGTGGGGGTGGGGGGCCCTTGGCCTCCTTACCCTAGTCCACGTCGCTGCAAGGCTCCCTGCGAAGGACTGGGGTCCTCCGGCTGTGTCTGGAAAGCGTCTGGCTCAACGGCCCTGCTCCTGCTGCGCTAGGTGGGCAGGAGCTCAGGGCCGGCAGCGCGCGCTCCGTGCTCCCTCTCCCTGCGCTGCGGGGCACCGCCCTGCCGCCCGGGATCTGCGCGCCTTGCGGCTGCGGCGGCGCCCTGCGCAGGCTCCGCAGACGCTGAGCGTGGCAAGCTCTGCGATCCTCCAGAGGTTGCAGCAGCACTACCTATCCTTTGTATCCCGCGGCTGGTGCGTTGCAATGTCTGTCTCTGCTGCTGATTGCCATTCGGTCACGTGTGGTAGGAGGAGAGATTTGTCTAAAAACCCTAGACAGCTCCCAGCTCAGATCCTTGGGAAGGGTCCCAGTTGCCGCGTGATTTACAGTTGACCGAGAAAGGAGCTCATTGTTGTATGGTGACACTCTCCTGCTCTCCCGGATTTCAGAATTTTGAAGTTTTAGCGAAAATATTTATTAAGTGATTGAGAGGCTTCAGGTGCCCGTTGCCTTTGTTCAAATTATTGGCTCGTTTCATTGTGATCTTACCAGCAAGTGCTACAGATTCACAAAAAAATTCCTTGAGTTTTATTTACTCTGTAAAGGTATTTGTTTGACTACAGTTTAAACTAATTTCCTCCCATCCTTTCCATCTTATCCCCATCCTCAAAAAAGTAAGTAAATTAGTAAATAAAGGCACAAAGTAAACAACAATGACGTAATTACAGCCAGGGACACCTGGATTTATTATTCATGATCTCTGTAGGAGTAATGCTACCTCAGAAACTTTATGAAATGTTTTCATGTGTTGGCTGGCTGCTCCGATTAGTTTTAGAATGTGGGAGAAATAAAAACCATTACCAAATATTAATTTTGTTTCTAACTAGGGAGAAAGCTAAATTTCCTGTGTATTTTGGGTTTGTTTTATTTGGGAGTGAATTAATAGCTTACTAGCCATATTCAACCTTATTTGAAATAGCATGCAGGTTTTATTACTAGATTGCCTTAATGCAGTTTATCCTTCCTCAGTACAGTTTCTAATTTTAGAGCTTCAGAGTTTCCTGTGTTTATCAGTACAAAAGTAAAACTCAAGAAATGAAAGCATATCATAGATGTCATCACATTGTTTCTTAGCCTTTTTGGGTCTCTCTTTGAGTGTCATGTACATCATACAAACGTACCTTTTTTGACCTAGTAGAGGTCTATCAGGTGTTATGTCTGCACCTACAAAATCAAGTACCCCATTAAGAAACTATACTTTTTGTTTCTTTTAACTCTCTGGGTTCCTTTGACTAGTTCATTAACTGATTTTAAAAAATTGTGAAGCATATTTGATTTTATTTGCCTTACTCAAATCATATTTTTGTTTTTTATCATTGACTATGAATATGAATGTATTTTCTAGGTGCTGCCTATAACACAACAAACAATTAGTAACACAAAGTTGATCTTAATGAAACTGACAGTTCAGGTACACTATACCTACAGTACCAATCAGAATGTCAAGTTTTGTAAGAGTTATACCCCGTGCTATAGAGTTTAGACAATGAAGGGAGTATATCTGGTTGGAGAATCAGAAAAAGCAAGGGAACCCTGGGTGGGTGGCTCAGTTGGTTGGAGTGTTGTTGTTCCATACACCAAAAGGTTGCCGGTTGGATCCCTGTTGGGGGCCGTGCCTGAGGCAACCCATAAGTGTTTCTCTCTCCCTCTCTCTCTCCCGTCCTCTCTAAGATCAATAAACATATCCTCAAGTGAGGACTTAAAACAAAGTTAAAAAAAGAAAAAGCAAGTGAGATTACATTTGAAGTGGGCCTTAAAGGACAGACTGAATTTAGACAACCAAAGATGAAAAGAAAAGATTCCAGATAAAGGCATCACTGTGAGCCAAAGCACAGAGGAGGAAAAGCCCAGATTAGTTACAGAGGTCTGGAGGGACTTGGGGTTAGAGAAAGCTGGAAATGTAGGCTGGAGCCTGTTTCAAGGAATTTCAGGAAGAACTGATATATTTTATTAGGAAGCAATGGCTTTGCTTTGTAAGATTCTTTCCTTTGTTGTATGAGATGATTGTACATGGAGGGATGCTGAAAACTTACAGGGCTCCTTAACTGGAGAGAGGGAATGATAATTATGGCCTTGGACAATAGAAGCTACAGAATTTAAAGTGTGAAACAAAAGAAAGGGAGCAAAAACGTGAGGGAAGAAAGGTCATGGAAACGTATTTCATGAGCCATGGAACCATTAGTATATTAGAAAGTCCACTTGTGAGGAAATGGACACATCATTATACTTTGCCCCTTTGCTCATCAGTTTCTCCACATCTGTGCACTGAATGCTGTGTGTTCTCTCGATCATACTCTGAGGACACCAAAGGTCAATCACAGTATTTACACAAACTTGGAAACCTTTTTTATGCCAGGGGATAGAATTTACTTAATATTCTTTCTAACCCATTTGAACAGCCAGCTAGTCCTGAGCCCAAAGAAAAATCAGACAGTTCTCAATGTGAGCCTCGGGTGGCATGCACGAGGAACACAAGTAACCTCTATAACCAAGCTCCCTGTGTGCATGAGCACTTTCTTCCCAGACTTTATGGCAACGCATTGGAGGGAAGGGCACTGGCTTTAGAATCAGACCTGGGTGCCAGTTAATAATTGTGTGGTCCTGGGAAACATACTAACCCTATCTAAGCGTCAGTATCCTTGTCTTAAAAAGGTTAAAATATTTACCCCCTTAAAACTGTTGTAAAGATTAAATTAGTTTAACTAAACTACACCAAATGTGTTACCTCGCATTTATTGTATATTTAAAACATAATACATAAATTCTTTTAAGGACAAGGAAAGTAAGATAGTATAGAAAGAAGTATCATTGGACTTTCATTGCGAAACCTGGAATTTATAGCTAGTGTTGGTTGCATTAACCACCTGAATGACCTTGAGTCAACCTCTTACTGATTGTAGACCTCAGTTTCTGTCTCTGGAAATAAAGGATCTGATCTGGTAATCTCCAAACTCTTTTGCAGAGCTCCAGCATCCTGTGATGGTGTGAGAGGATTTTTTGTTAAAATCAATATACTTTAACTTTTACGGACAAGATTCAAAGGTTAGTTGGCAATTATTAAGGTTACAGTAATCTGAGATTACCAAATAACATTACATTCATATGTGATGCCCATACCCTACATTTTGAAACATGATTCTTACAGATTGAGGGAAATCCCACTATTCTAATTTTCCTTTTTTTTTATTAATCCTCACGTAAGGATATGTTTATTGATTTTAGAGAGAGAAGAGAGAGAAAGAGAGAAAGAAAAACATCTATCAGTTGCCTCCGTTATGTGCCCTGACCGGGGATTGAACCCATAACCTTTTGGTGCACAGGACCATGCTCCAGCCAACTGAGCCACGCAGCTAGGGATCTAACTTTTCTTAATTTGTGTATATAATATAGCATTATGGTAAAGATCAGGACTAAAGACATTGCCTGAATTAAATATCAGCTCTACCATTTATTGGCTATAACATACCCCATAGGATTAAATGCATTTGTATACATAATGGACATTAATGGACTAATGTCCATTAGTCCAGCATTGTGCACATGGTAGATATTCAATAAGTATTAGTACTTGTTATCAGAACAAGGAAAAATATATTCCCCAACATTCCCAGAATACTGAATGTTTAAACTATTTTCGATTTACATTTGTCTTTCCATCTCTGAGTTAGGAGGCAGTTGTAATTAGAATAAGGTTAATAGAATAAGGTTTAATGAAAAAAAGAATTTTTTCTACTATTTTTTATTACACTGTAAGCATTTCCTATGTTGCTCTGAAATCTTATTTTATCTCTTTTATTTCATCAGGCCAGTATGCATAATTTTCATAGCCATTCAACTATTTTTTAATTTTGCTTTTTAGATAATTTCTAAAATTGCATTATAAATAATGCCTCAATGTAATTATAATGCTAAAATAGACATCTTTTATATATACTTTTTCTTGTTATGTGTTTCCTTAGGATAAATATAAAAGAGGAATATATCTGAGTTAAAGGCTATGAATACTTTTATGGCAATTGATCTGAATTGCCAAATTGCTTTCCAAAAATATATTATTTTACAATTGCCACCCATAATATGTGAGTAATGTCTTTATCACAATGTAGCCAGATCTAGGGGGTTTAATATTTTTTATACTTTCTTAATAAATATAATGGATCTCATTGTTTTCTTTTTCATTTGAGCTATTAGCAAGGTTAATATTTGTCCTCATATTTATGAATTATATCTCCTAGGGTGCAAACACTCTGTAGGTACTTTACCTATTTCTGTCTTAATTACTTGGTAATTTACTTGTTGGAGCACCTCACATAACAAAGAAATTAACCTAACGTCATATTTGATGCAAGTGTGTTACTCAATCTAGCACTTCTCTTCAGATATTTTCTTTTTAGTTGTATAGGGAGTATAGTTTTAATGCAGTTTAACTTGTTCATTTTTTACTTTGTTCATGGTTTACTTTGATTTTTCACTTCTAAATATAATAATTACTCCAGGTATTTAATAACTACTTTCTCATTTAGAATTGGATGAATTTGGAGACTTCCTTTTTCATACATCAGTATTTCCCTTTTTACATTAGCAACAGTTTTATTTTTGTTTCACAATTTTATTATCTGGCAACACTAATGAAACTTCAATCGTCTTTCTTTAACTGATTCTTTTCCCATATATTTAATGGGTGCCTTTAGAGTCTAAATTGCATACCTTAAAAACCATACTCCAGCAATTTTCCCCCTTTACAGCAACAACTGTTTTCCCTCTGCCAGATCTTTCTTGTCAGCATTCAAACATCTGTTATTTCTCCTATCTTAAAATGACAACAAAAACTCATCCTATTATACTTTTCATCTCGTTACCCCATTCTCTCCCACTCTTTAAAGCAAAAACTCCGTAAAAGAACAGCCCTCTGTTCTTTTCTCTACATCCTCTGTTTCAGGATCCAAAAACATACCATTTAGGCTTTGCCACCACCAACCACTTCCCTGAAATTGCCTTTCTCTAGGCTGGCAGTGACCTCCACCTAGCCAGATTGTTTGGTCCGCATCTTAGCAGTTTCTGATACAATTACTCATTCTCTCCGCGAAGTACTTGACCTTGCTTTTTTTTTCCTTAATGGCTCACTGGCTACTCCCTTCTCAGTCTCCCCTGCCACATACCCCTATCCCCCCTATCCTCACCCGCATGCGCTAACTTTATAAAGTTGATTGGTCCAAGATTCAGTTCTTAGATCTTTTCTATTTTCTATCTACACTCCTGTGAGGACTCTTACTAATTTACATTTCCAATCCAGACCTCTGCTGAACTCATCATTATATATATTTTCAACTGCCAATTTAACTCTTCTTGGAAACATCTGACAGTCATCTTGATTTTAAGATATCCAGAACTGGGCTCCTGAATTTTCTTCCTCATCTGGCTTTTCTGGCAGCCTGCCTCAACTCAACTAATTACAACTGAGTCCTTCCATTAGCTCAGAACAAAACCTTGGTATCATCCTTGATTCCTCTTATCCTCGCATTCCCTACAATGAATCCTGCCGCAAATGTTGACTCCACTTTCAAAATGTTCCCAGGATCCACCCACTTCTCACCACCTTTACTTACATTACTTTAGTCCAAGCCAGCATCATCTCTTAAATGTATTGTTATAATAGCATCCTGCTTCTACCCTTTGTTAGTGTGTGTGTTAAGATTATGATAGAATTAACGAAAAACATCTTGAGTAAGTTTTAATCCTTGTGGAAATTTGAAGGCAGTCACAATTTATAAGTTAAATATTTCTTCCTTTATATGTACTTTAACTATTTTTAAATGGTTGTAAAATCTCAGTGATGGCTAAAATACTTTTTAGTTAAGGTAGATTTTATCTTTATTTACCAGTTTTGGTGAGATTCATCATGGGAAAAGCTTAAATGTTCATGAGTTGTATCTAAGAATAGTGTACTTACTGAAATTGCTATTAGATAATGAGAAAAAGGTAAACAGGAGAAATGATATTTTCAAGGAAATTGAAAAAAGTTAAAGTCTTAAAAATACAAATTTGTTGTGAATGCGATAGAAGGGGTCATCTTTGCTGTCTTCCTTCTTTAAGAAAGAAGACACATCCTAAACTACTGTGTCTTGCTCTCATTGCATAGGCCAGAACTTCCAACAAGATTCCTTTATTACATTGTTTATGTTAAGTATAGATTAAAATGTTCAAGTAAATGGTGTAATACAATAGTAATGGCATACGGGTAACTTAAATACCTTAAAATAAATATGATATTACTGTTTTGATTGGCACATGGAAAAAGATTATTGCTGAGTCTTTTAGCAGAACATAAGCTTATTTTTACATCATTGATTATACATTTTCATTAAATTTCTACTTTTGAACATTTTTAAGTTTAAATGAAAGGTTAAAATAAAGGTACAAATTATTGTTATAAATGTCTTTATGTTTACAAAACTGTCAGTTAAGGGTTTAAATATACCTATTACTTAAGTAAATTTAACAGCTGCAGTAATGTGACCTTTACAAAGGCCACTCTGACTGAAAATCAGGACTAAGATACTGTAGACAGAAAACAGAAGCATTTGGGATGGAATTATTAACAATGGCTAAAGATTATAAGAGCAGACTATATAATGTTAGAATATTGTATAGCCATTCATAATGGTATTCAAAGGAATTTTAATTTCATTCGAAGATCCTCTAACTATATCAGAGTTTCTTAATGTAGCATTATTGACATTTTGGACTGGATAATTCTTTCTTGGAGGGAAACTATTCTGTGCATTGTAAGATGTTTAGCAGCATCCCTATCCTGTACTCAAAAGACACAAGCAGCAACCACCAGTTACAACAGCCAAAAATGTCTCCAGATACTACCATATATCACCTAGTGTACAGAATTGCCACTGATTGAGAACCATTGTGCTAAGTGTAAAGGGGAGAAAAATAAATATGGGGGCAATGAGCCTGAATCTGTGCTGCTGAATAAGGTCACCACCAGTAACATGTGGTCGTTTAAAGGTAAATTTGCCTTCGCTGGGTGGCTTATTTGGTTGGAGCATCATCCCCTACACCAAAGGTTGCGGGTTCAGTCCCCAAGTGGGGCACATACGGGAGGCAACCAATCCATGTTTCCCTCTCATGGCAATGTTTCTTTCTTCCTCTCTCTACCCCTCGCCCACCTCCCCTCCTTCTCTCTCTGTAAAGTTAATAAACACCGCCCTCTCTTTAAAATTAATAAGCATATCCTTAGGTGGGGATTAAGAAAAAAAAGAATAAATAAATATGTAAATTAAGTTAATTTAAAATTAACTTCTTTAATCACACTGGCCACACTTGAGGCAATCAATAGCCACTGAAGCTTAGTGGTTATCTGATTGGACAGCACAGAAATAAAACATTTTCAGCACTGCAAAAAGTTCTACTTGAGTGATTCCTTACAAAATACATTCTGCTCAGTATTTCCACCTGGAAATGGCTGAGCTGTTTACTGCTTCTGAATATTTTATGAGAAAAATTAGAGGCTATAACGGTATTTGGAAATTCATAAGTGTCTCAGGATATCTCTCACTTAAGGATTTTCTATATAAAATACTGTTTCTGATCAGTCTGTCAAAATTTTTTTATTATTTTAAAACTAATTTCTATTTCAGTGTTTACAGAGAATTTCCCAAAATTGCTGAAAATTGCTGATATTGTACGCTTTGAAAATAATTTTTATAATCACATATTCTGTACATCAGCACTTATATTCCTTATTTTCTAAATTTATAAATGAAATGTGATTTATAAGTTATAATTTCCTGATACTAGAAGTTGTTAGGGTATTTGAATTTGAATACATAGTCAAAGTTACCAGTGTATTGCTTTCCTTACTATTAACAGTTTCATCAACTTTGCAGAAGCAGAGCTGCCAAGGAGATGATGAAAGTGAAACTCATAGGAAAAATATAAACATAATAGGTCTGTACTGGCCAATAATTCAAAATATAATTTTAGAATGTAGTCAAATGAATACATTTAGAAAGAGAGCATTAATATTT